CCACAACGCCCGGCTATTTTTTGGTTGCAGCCGTCATTGTTGTTTGGCGGGTCCGGGCTGCGGATTCGAACCCGCCACCTTAGGTGTACGTGGCTGGCGCCTTAGCTGGTTGAGCTATAGGCACCGAGCCAGTAACTAAGTTCTTATAAAGCTTAATGAATATGTACACTGGCATTTACCAGTGAATTAAACAACCACATTCACTTATTCTTCGAAATTAATATTATTCATTTTTACCATTACCATTATTCCACAATAACAGGGATCTGGTCAGCTAGCTCTCCTTCCTGAAATCCTCCAATTGTCTTTGGGACCAAGTCCAAACTCCTCAGCAAGTTATGCAGGTGCTGAAGCATCTACTTCCTGCTTTCCTGTTTTGTCTTATATGTCCCTTAAATCTTAACTATTTGCAATTATCAAAAACATGTCCTGATTCCCACATGCCTATGTACTTACTACATAGATACACCCACCTCTCAGTCGCCCTCGGTAGAGTGCCCATGGCGTTACACAGCTTACAGCAACCTCTAACTCCTGGCCTTAGGCGATTCTCTTGCCTCAGCCTCCTGAGTAGCTGGGACTACAGGCACCCACCACAACACCCGGCTATTTTTTTCTTGCAGTTTGGCTGGGGTCAGGTTTGAACCCCCCACCCTTGGCATATGGGGTTGGCACCCTACTCACTGAGCCACAGGCACCACCCAATGTGACAATTCCTAACTTACCCTTTAAACACAGCTCGGACAGCCTCCCCAGACAGCCCACCTTGACTGGTCACTTGGGTTAAGGACTAGGCACTCTCTGCCTTCAGAGTTCTCTTTAATCACCTCAAGAAAAATCACAGGGCAAAGTATCATTGCTGATTCACTCATTCCTCTTCCCACTTATTTGTGAATGCTTAAAAGCTAGAACTATCTTTTATCTCTAAATTCCCAGCACCTTGCACAAAAATCTGTACACAATAGCAGCTCAAGTAAATAAATGCCTCTTAAAAACAAATCAACAAATGAATATAAGCTTTTTGACTTCACAGAAAATTACCCTCTTATTTCCAAAATAGAGAGAAAGTTGCTTTAAAATATCTATTATAAATTAAGATGCCATAAATTATATTTATTTAATTATCAAGAAAATAGCAGGAGCTATAAAATCAACTTAAGTTTTCGGCTCCAATAACAACTCTCCGGGAAACTAAAAATGCCAAAGAAAGAAACTTTTTAGTTTCCTAATTGTAGGAAAAGTTGGCCAATAGAAATTAGGTCTTTACCATTCTGACCGCCAGATTCGATCCTAGTTGTCAATGATTTCCACCTGTAGTTTAAGGAGCATGGTAAACTGCAGTGGCTCCCAGATGATGCAGACATGGAGATATACCGTGTGTACCTTGATGGGCCAGGCACTGAGATAATTTCCTGTAGTAACTACTTTGAGGACAAGATATTATCCTTAGTTTCACTTCTGACTTGAGTTAACCTATTCATACCCTTAAACCTAAATCATACCAATTCATTCACACTACACCCAAAACCAGTCATTCTCTTTCAATTGTGACATTTAGTACTGTAGCAAAATAAAAGCTGCATGGGCCAAGGTATCTTCTATCCCAAGTCAAGTGGCCTATGAACTAAAAACCTGCAGACGTGGTGCTCCATAAATGTGAAGGAAAGGAGGAAACTGATGGCTTTTCACCAAACAGGGAAGGGCAGAAGTACCTGAAGACAACGTTATCAGCATGACGCCGAGATTCTGACAGTAGTCTCCAGGTTCGATCTTCTGGTTTTTCTTTGTATTTCTACTTTCTTCAGTCTCCCTTCCTCTCCCAGAAAGTCTTTGTGATTTGTTCTAACTCACTGACTCTATCAGTAAAATCCAAACTGTGAGAAACTACAGGATGAAAGACCTCATGTCTTCAACAAAGGTACGGCAAGGGCAAAAAAATTAAATAAAGTAAATGGAAGGCAGAAATCATGCATTAAAAGACTCAAAAAAGCAAACAAAAAGCAGTTGACAGACACTATTTAGGTCCTGGTTCAGGCAAACAAACAATTATGTTCTCTCTCTCTCTCTCTACACAGACACACACAATACATATTTGATAGTAGTAAGAGAAAATGTCTTGGTTATGTTTTTTAAAGAATCTTTCACCTTTTATAGCTATATTACTGAATTTTTTATAAATTAAATGATTATGTTTTGCTTCAGAATAAGATAGGTAGGGGAAGAAAATAGGCAAGATTAGCCGTGAGTTCCCAATTGTTGAAGCTGATAGTTCAGTATATTGTTGTGTCTAGTTTTGTGTTCGAAGTTTTTATAATCAAAAGTTAAAATGAGTGTCAGAATATTCCTTCACAGAAATAATCCTAATTAATTGGAAAATGAGACCAGGAAACTGTGTTCCTTGCTTCTTTGGTTTTACTATGGAAACAAGTCAAAATGGAAAAAGAAAATAAGCATTTACTAACCATTAATTCAAATAAAAGAATCCTTCATTAAAGGTTTAGCAAATTATATTTTCTAATATGATAACCTAAAACTTTGATAGATACTACTGTAGCCCATTAATTTCTTACCTTATATTAAAATTTTAACAGAAGAAAGTATTTGGCCTCAAATACAAATTCAAATAAAATTTTTCTATTTTTTTTCATTTTTTTACATACACTTTTTTTTTTCCTAACAAGTTGCTTGGATGGAATTGGACACTTTTTTTCTTTTTTCTTTTTTTTTTTTTTTTTTGAGACAGTATCTTGCTCTTTCCCTCAGGCTAAAGTTCAGTGGCAGTGAAATCATACCTCACTGCAGTCTCAAACTCCTGGGCTCAAGCCATCCTAGGGCCTCAGCATCCCCAGTAACGGGGATGACAGGCTCTCACCAGCTAGCCCGGCTAAATTATTTCTGATTTTTGTAGAAATCATGTTCTCCCTACTTTCCTCAGGCCTCACGTGAACCTTCCACCTCAGCCTCCCAAAGTGCTAGCATTGCAAGCATGAGCCACAGTGCCTGGCCAAGATGTATATCCTAAAATATTGATGAACATTTTCACACAGGCAAAATGTATAAAGCACTGCTTTTGCTTCAGTGAAGTTTACAAAAATTTTCAACTCCATGAACAAGTCCTATCTTATTATGTGCTTACAGGTGGGTGAAGTGCCTGCCAGGCTGATGTACGTAAATACAAAACATATTTACGTAGCCTCCCCCCAAAATTACTCAGCTTTGTCAATAAGTTCCAAATAATTTTCAGGCATATCTGTGGATGCGTGATAATGATCTAAGTATGAGAACAACAAACTAGAATTTTAACACATTATTTATAAATAATAAACCACACAGCCCTAATTCAAACCAAGAGAACTACTACCCACAAAGGGGCACAGCACGGGGACGCCTTTTCTGGAAGGTAGAGGCGAATGGGCACATCGTCTGTGTGCACAAATCGAAGGGTTGTGGAAACTGGTAGAAGTTTAGTTGATTTTACAGTTTGGGTTTTTCAGAAATGTCTAGCCTTGTTTTTTCCCATTATTCTACACTACCACTCTTGGATTAAATAACTTGTAGTCTTCTCTTGGAGGATAATAACAATAACAATTACGATCCTCAAACCCTGCCCCCATACCCTCCCTTCTCCCATGGCCAAGGTTTTAGCTTTGCAGAGAGGAGAAAGCCTCCGCCCCTTGGCTCAGGTCACCGCACTGCTGGTGGCACCCCACACAAACTTCCCCAGAGCAAAACACCCAGCCTGTGGTTCCTTTTCGTACCCTTTTCCCTTCTTTTCTGCACAGGGAGCGCCATGCATGACTCGCATTGGGACTGCGCTCATTTCGTGCAAGATACCGCGTCTCCAGGGCAACCGAGAGCAAACGTGCGGTCGCGGGTGGGCCGACTGCGCGGAGGACCACCCCCCGACGGCGCCACTCACCTGCCGGCCGCCTGGGTCGCCTCGCACTCGGGTGTCCAGCGCGTCGTGCCGAGTTTCGTCTTCGCCACCCGAGCGGTAGATGAGGCGCAGCGGCACGATGCTCTGGCGCTCCTGGAAGCGGTTTTCGTTCCCCTTCTCCAGCTCCGTCAGTGAGGTGTCTCCTCCAGGCAGGAAGGGGTAAGGAGGGAGTGGAGAGAAAAGGCGAAAATAACGACCCTGACCCACACTCCTCCATCCTGCGGTCCTACGTCTCCCCTACGAAAATCCGCCGCCCCCTCCTTCCCGGACCCCATCTGGGAAGGACGCAGACACACCAGCCGGAGAGCTTAGGACCAGCTCATCTGAGAGCATCCAGGATCGTGGCCCAGAAGCAAGTCACCCCTTTCCCATCCTCCCCATTCCTCTTTGAAAAGGATAAACAGGGTTTTAACCGGACCTTCTACTGCATCCGCGCGCCCCCACACATACATTTTTGCTCCACTTTTCACCATCCTGCCATATAAAAATTCTCCCCGCGCACCCGGGAAATGGGGGCGCCCCTTCCCAATGCGCCGGAGGGCTCCAAAGATTCACGGAAAATGGTACATCCCGAAGCCACAAAGGGTGGCTAACTTACCTGCCTGGCCGCAGCGCGCCGTGGGGCAGGTCCCCAGGGCGCAGAGCAGCAAGAAGGGCACGGACGCGGCCGCCGACGCCTGCATGGTGCTGCCGTCAGCCCGCCTCGCCCGAGGCGCTCAGCTCCTCATGCCCGGGCAGCCGAGTCCGAGTGCGGCTCCCCGGCTCCGCGCCTCGCGGGTCCCCGCGGCCGCCCCCTCCCAGCCCCAGCCGGTGCTGCGGATGCCGCGGCGCTGCAGCCTCCACTGTGGCGCTGCCTCAGTGCTGCATTGTGCTCCGCGGGCGCTTCCGCTGGCGGGGGGAGCGAGCGAATGCTGCATTGGGCGGTTGGCTGTAGCTAAGTGGTTTCTAGCGCCTCCCACCTCATCCCCTGGCAGAGGCTCGGGCGGGCGACGAGCGCTCGGCAGGGAGCGAGCGCCCGGTGCTCTCGCCCCCCGCGCGCGGGCAGGGCCGCGCGCAGGAGAGTCAGCTGGGAAATGTAGTTCCCTCCCCGCGTCCCGCCGGGCTCCACGACGGCGCGGACTGTGGTGACATCGTGACCGTGAGGTCTTCTGCATCCTGCTGGTGGGAGGGAGGAAAGAGCGAAAGAAAAAGGTCATCGCTGACAGGACTCCTGGCACCGGAGCTGCACCAACTGTGCATTTGCAGCAGCCGGTGTTCATCCACATTGTCCGCAAAGAACTGTAATGTTTCCCACAGATTGGTAGTTCCTTAAGTTATTATCAGGGAACTATGCTCTCCCGAAAGAATGGTAAATTGATCATTTACTAAGTAGACATTGAGGATCAACTGAAGGACGCCGGTATAAGAGGCAAAAGTTCTCGGATACAAGTGAGTAAATAGACCATTTTTTACAATGCGGTGTGAAAAGTGTCCGGGTAATGGCGTCAGGGAGAACCCCTGGAGAAGGTCTTTGCAGGCACTCCAAGGATGATTGAGCCCAACTCTGCAGGACGTTTTTATTCTTTCTCTAACATCTGACAACCTCAAACCTGTATTCAAGAATCAGACAGGCTAAACTTTGCTTTCCCAAGCTGTGTGTTCCATTTTTCTCTAATTTCAAGTCGTAGAAAGTCTTGAGGATGAAACAGTAATAAGGTAATAATCAACAAAGTTAATACTTGTGTAGTATTTTACTTTTTTGGAGTTCCTGTATAGTCATTTGATCCCCAAATCAACAATTTGATCATAGTTATTATTTCCATTTCAGGGAGGAGAAAATTAAGGCTTGAGCTGTACCTTTCAAATACCGTAGCCAGTAGCCATACATGGCTACTTAAATAAAATTAAAAATTCAGTTCCTCATCACAGTGGCCACATTTCAAGAGCTGAATCTATCAACACAGTAGTCAGTGGCTACTGTGTTGGACAATAAAGATATAGAACACTTTCATCATTGCATAAAGTTTTACTGGACAGCACAGGCTTCCAAGGACCCATGGCTATTCATAAAGTGAACGGGGACCTCGATCTTCTGCTTTCAGGTCTGAGTCTTTTTCACATCTCCCTGGTTGAAACCTGTGTTTGTGTAACTTTCAACTTGATTCTGATTCTGTAGAACAGATGGAAAAATCTTCTACATGAAGCTCTTTGGAGATGTTTTTCTCTTCCTGGTGGGAATTTTTTACCCCTGCCTTGTGTGATAATGGTTCAGAAGGTTCTTTCACCATCCTGATAAACTGGAAATATACTCCAGTTAAAGTGTGGTATTTAGACTTAATTACGTATAACTTAGGCATGATTTCACAAGCACATAATAGGGAGAGACTCTTTTCTTTCTTGTTCTAACCTTAACTAAGAGGACATCCATTCATATTTTGGTAACCACTTCTCATTGAGCTCATATTGTCATTTCCCCAAATCTTCAAATCAATGAGCCACTTAAGAACCCAATAAATGTTATGCAATTGTAGCCTGAACATGATTTCAATAGTACACATTAAACATTAGTGCAGGATATTCAATAATAGTTACTGTGACAGAGAATTAGAACCCAAAGCTTTGGAAAAGTCATTTTCCTTCCCTTCGCTACATCATGAACCTAAATTCTTTTTTTTTTTTTTTTTTTTTTTGAGACAGCTCTAAGCCCTGCCCCCGGGGGGAGCCGGGCGCATCACAGATCACAGCAACCTCCAACTCCCGGGCTCAAGTGAGTCTTCTGCCTCCACCTCCCAAGTAGCTGGGACCACAGGGGCCTGCCACAGCACCTGGCTATTTTTTTGGTTGCAGCCGTCATTGTTGTTTGGCAGGCCTGGGCTGGACGAACCTGCCAGCTCA